GACAGGCCTACTAGGCCTATGGGGCAGCACGGACATCCAGGTGTTTCACAAAATTACGGGTAGCAACCACACAGCGCCGATGAAAACAACTGCAATGAGTGCTCGCATACGTACTGATCAAAGAAAACATTGTGTAACTCAGAATGGCTGGTGTGTGCGTCGCCAGTTTCACCGGCACAGTACCTGCCACTTTGTGAGAATCCCGGATGTCCGTGCTGCCCCATAGGGCCATACTATATGTACTGTACATGTATGATGTAGGGAAAAGGCATTCATATATAAAATTCTTTCTGAATTGTGCAATCATGTCACAAAACATGAATACTGATTACTGTACCCTTGGGCTCGTCAGGATTCATAGCATCCTGTGATTGAAGATTTTCCACACTGTGATGAAAGTCTTCATCTCCTGTCAAAGCTGGGTCATCTTCACTAACAACTTGACTTGTTGGGGGTAAATCATCAAACCCCCCTATTATCGCACTCACATATCCCCAGTGACTGGAAAACAGGCATTTTAGAGTCCCTTCGTGCCAGCACCTGAACAAGAAGCAGTTTTTACTCTTGGACTCATCCTCAACAAAGATGGCTGTGTCACAACTCCCCTCTTTCTGGCAGCACCGCCAGCGACATTCTGCCGCCCCATCCACCTTCGTGTCGCCCACGAACTCTGCCCCGTTATTCAAGGAGTCTTTGGTGCGTATAATAGAGGAGTTTTTCAGCTCATATCTACTGTCGCACTCATTCAGACCGCGGAAACTAGACACTCCGCTGTGGCTGCCGATATCGCGTTCATCTGCCGCGTAACGGCTGTAGTCCATGGGGGACTTTTTGGCTGTGTGCCCGTTGTCCATGAAACCTGGTGCCGCTCTGTACGACGTACCTGCCACATTTTGACGAACAAACGACAAAACTGCCAGGCCTACCACCAGCTGTAGCACCAAAAGTGTATGATCCATCTTGATTACCTCGTTCAATCGACTCTAACACAAATCTGCATGTTATCCCGTATCACATCATGAACATCATTTTGTCGGTGACAGCTTTAATTTAGCTGATGTTCTAGGTATGGTATATGGTAAGGTAGGTAATCACAGCTTCGTCCTCACACAGTCCACCATTTTATGCCCATAAGTATGTACGCAAGAAAGAAAGTAAATGCAATATGAGCACAAGAGGGCGCCCTTTCCGATTTTTCTAGCTGTAAATTATACAATGTGGTAAATGCAAGCCGCTGCCCCGCTCCCCGTGCGCTAGACGTACATGTAGGCTACCATGTTAATACACGAAGGTGGGCCTTAATAAAAATGTGTGTTGTGTTTTTAGAAATGTTTTTAGACCTCGATTCATTTAATCATTTTTAAGAGCTTGTTTTATTCCCCTCTCCCAAAGCAAAACCTCCTTTCTGGTGCGTGCGTATTCTGATCTAATTTCCCATCCCCTAGCTCGACAATTCAGACTTGATCATCAGCTCCCTCCCCCCAAAAGTATGCGCAATACCGTTCTGTTGATGATCAATTTTACAGAATGTTTGCCGTCAGGAATCATTTCTATGTGACAGCACTTATCAATTAGGGATTTCAACTGCTAATATTTTATTCTTCGTATATAGTGCCCTAGTCCTTAATGAAATTTCCATCATCATTACCAAAGATTAAGTTTCAGTTTTCACAACGACAATGTATGTTCGCCACAGGAGAGGTAGTTATTATTTTGTTGATTTGCTGGCTTCATGCAGCATCCAGCATATTTCCAAGAGCCTACTCATCAGCTTAATCATATCCTCGACCTCTTCATCACACGAGTAGCTGATTCCTTGCATTCTCATCTCTCAAGGTGACACTTGCCTCTCATATAATTATACCTTGCCGACCTACAAGAATGATTTCCACTAGTTTTGTGCCGTTAATTGATTCGGAACAGTTTCGAGGTGACGCTGACGCACAAATTAGGGATTGATATGAAGGGTTTGAAATTTAATTCAGACGAACACGTTTGAGTGCATCCTTTCTGCAATCCTGGTCGTACACACTAAATATCTATAGCTAGCCGATACAACGAACGTACAGTGTCGCCACCTAGCCCTCGAGCGGATGTACAGGGCACCTCATCCCTCCAGACTGATCACCAGCTAAAAGACGCATACTACACCCTACAAACTGAGTATTTTCTGGGAATAAAAATACTACTTCGCTCGTAAATCGTATTTCAAATCAATTTCTTTGCAGGACTGAGGTGCCTCATTTACTTGTTTCACGGCTGCGTGAGTGTTGTTGGTGATCGCTTCAGTGTCGAAATCTTCTATCACCCAGGTTTCTCTCCAACTCCCCACCATCTTTGAATGAAAGGCAAAATTTGTGCCATCGACCTTTGAAACTTTCCTTTTGGCTTTTCTAGACTGAAGGAAGTCTAACCATATTCAGAGACCCATCGATATCTTTTGATCTCGACCCGACTCCAAAATGGCTTTCTGAAAAGATTAATCCATCAGTGAGTCAGGTTGGTGTAGTGGTTCTTTCCTCGCCTTCCACCTCTGCTGTCTGGGTTCGATTTCCGGCTCGGTCTACAGGTGGATTGGGTTTGCAGTCCCTACCTGATTCCGTTGGTTTTACCCAGAATATTTTCTCTGGGGTTTTAATTTCTTTCCACCTCTAAAACTGTAACTGCTTCTCATTGTCTCCTCTCTACAGGTTTCTTCAGGCTTGCGAGCTGCAGTGCCTAGGGCGCTTTGGGGGAATCCTTGTTGTCATTGCCAATGACTGTCAAAAATAATAATACAAAGTTTAGAAAGCAGAGTCGTTCAGAGTTTGTCTAAAACATGCTCATTTGCCGACCACTTCTTTAAAAAGCCAGTACCATGGACACAACTGAACTTCCGTCCTGTATTCAAACCTACCATATTATGTAACATAACATGGGCATCCTTCAGTCTCGGAACTTGAAGATAATGGTGTTGCCCTCTGAATGATGGAGCAGCGTCTGGTGTAGCTGGAAAGGCCATTTCGGAAGTGACAGTCCTTTCCACAATGATTTTCGTGCGTTACAGTTTCTTTGCCTCCAGTTTCACTCTACTGCACACTAGGGAATGGTCGGTATCGCAGTCCGAGCTCTGATAAGTGTGTGTAATCTTGATGTTGGGAAGGCTGGAGCGTCTGGTGAGGATAAGGTCGAGCTGGTGCAAGTGCTTTGATCTTGGGGTGTCTCCAGGAGACTCTGTGTTGAGGCTTCGTATTGAAGACGAAGGTGTTGCTAATACAGAGATCGTCATGACAGCAGAATTCGAGCAAGCGTTGGCCGATTTCATTGAACTTTCCAGTGCCGACTGTGCTAGGCATGTTGGCAATGAACTATGATCAGCACCGACTCTGGCGTTGAAGTCACCGAGGATGAACGATGATTCCTTTTCAGGGATTCTCTCGATAGCGAGTATCAGGTCCTCGTAGAATTTGTCCCTAGCCTGTGCAATGGACGTCAGGGTTGGAGCATATGCACTGATATGTTACAGTGACTGGTCCCACGGATGAGTGAAGCTTTAAGGACAGGATTCTTTCGTTACCTTCTGTTGGTGGGGAGATTAGTTTCAGCAGAGTGTTCCTTACTGCAAAACCGACGCCATGTTCCCTGGTCTCGTCTGATGGTTTTCCATGCCAGAAAAAAAGAGAACCTTTTCTCCTTAACAGATCCTGAATCTGACAGTCTCGTCTCCTGGAGAGCAACGATGTCCATCTGCAGTCTACTCAGTTCCATATCGATGACTGCTGTTTTGCGTGCGTCATCTACTTCTTGGAGGTTGTCGGAAAAGCTGGGCATCATTGTCTTGACGTTCCAAGTGCCCAGTTACATGTAAAGGGCTGGAGTTTTCTTCTTTCTGTTGCCTGGTACAGAGTTTAACAATCCACTTTTTGGTTTTCATCCTAAACCCCACGCACCCCGTGAGGTTAACGGACCGTGACGGGTCAGCATCCAACTGGCTGGGGGTACCCAACTTGAGGCGGGCGGTAGCCGCCCACTGAGATGTGATGATCTCTCCCACCGTCGGAAGCAGCCCCTATACCGTCATGCTCTACGCCAATTGAACAGGAGACTTATAACTGGTAAACTGTAGCTGGGGGAAGGGGCAGGGGGGAGGCACGTGCCCCCACCACGGAGGCCCGTGCCCCACGAGTGCCCCCCCCCCCATTTGAAATTTTGAAATGGACATTTACGTCCATTTATGTAGGTAGGCGTTTAGACAGGCAACCAGTTCAATTATTTTCAGTGCCCCTGAAAAAAAATTGTGAAACCCAGGTGTCCCCTAAGCTGTAGCACCCTAGTTACGCCACTGGTTGTCAGAGGCTATTTGAGTCGCACACCATATGGGAACACTTTATAGACAGTGGGAGCTTAAGCCATTATACCCTCTGGCTTTGACAAACTTTGAACCATTATATGCCTATTGTATATTCAAGATTTTGGAAGGCATTGTGTTTTTGAAAATTATCTACAGTTTTAAGGGCTTATGAGTTACAGACTAAAATCAAAAAGATATTCATATAATTATAAGAACGATGATATCCTAAACATAATTCTTTGCCTCTTGTCCCACTTGTCAAAGAGTGCAACCATCAATATTCGTCACAATAACGATGATATCT